TGTATATATAAACTTTGATTAATTATATAAAATCTTTATGATAAATCTATATAAAAAAGTTTCCATGTTCCTTGATTAAGTTCTTTACAAATATTTTTATAATAATACAAAGTTAATTTACATTTACGATATGTACACTGACTTCATCTTGTAGTACTTAACAAAGAAGCAGAAAATATTTGTTGTAGTATTCTCGGTATGTCCTTAAGATCCATACAGACGAATGCACGTCCTGCCGTTATTCTTTTGGTCAAGCTTAAAATTAAATGTACATAAATATCGTGTTCTGCACATTCGCAGAACCATTGAATTTGAAAAACGTTTAAAAATTTTGAACTTACTTGGTAGCTTGATCGCCTAGTGACCCAATGAATATAGCAAACGCATTAACGTCTGGATTCGCAGTAAGAATTTTCGCAAATTGTTCCGGCCGAATACCGTAACGATCAAAATTGGCATCCGAGAGTACGACGACGATACGCTCGTCGGCATCTTCTTTCGCTAAGTTTACGATCGCATGTTGAGTCGCCTGCAAGGTATTATCACCGGACTCGCAAAATTGCGAATGCGCGTGCATCGTCTGAAACGAATTTGTTCTTAATGCCACGACTTAACTTTAATCGAAGCATTTCCTTCTGTTACCTTTATTATTTCCAATCTACGTTTATTATCTGCCGGCGGTTGAGTGTGCTTTACGAAAACTATGTTATAGTCGTCGCCGGAATGACCAACGATATCGTACTGAAATTTTCCTTCGTATCCACTAAACGCTTCCATTACCATAACGCAGGCTTCCATTTCTCGATCAAGGCGACCATCGTGACCATTAAATCTATACATGCTACCGGAAACATCCACCACTAATTTTAAACGTTTCGGTTTTGAGGGTGGTGTACCGAACTCGGGTTCTTTTTCCGTCCTTCTTCGATAAATCGTTCTTTCGCCTGTTAATCCTTCAATTAATTTCGTATCATCCAACTCCCCAGAAGTTTGGTGCCTGCACCACTGACGTTCTTTACTCTTGGACTGTAAACTGTCTGTAAAAAATAATTTTTAATTTT